CTGGGCAGCCCCAGCACCCCTGACAGAGTGTTCAGACACAACTCCTTCTCAGGTTTGTTGCACCTCCTTTAACATATTGTTGGAATAATACTGCTATATTTTTGGTTTAACGATGAATCTTAAAATGTTTGCCTCAGACGAACAACACAATCCATCTATATTAAGAGCAGTTGGCAGCCTTTACAAAGGCATCAACAATGTGAGAAGTCATAGCTTACAGCCATGCTTGTTACATTTCTTTAACGTTGCATTGGATCCCAGCAAAACACTCTCTTACGATCTAAATTTAGAGTTGTTCTCAGTAATGGAGAGCGTCGGCTGCTCTGTTCAAACTAGGCCAGCAGTGGTGAGAGCTGATTCAGTGTGTAGGCTGCTCTGCACCCAGCCACAGGACCTACAGATAAACACATGAACATGTACATGTGCATGCATACTTACCTAAACAAACCCATACACACCCATTTCAAATAAAGATTGCTAACCTGCAAAACAAAAGTCTGATTTGATTTGCCGCTTAGTTTAATTTCTCCACTTTTGCTGTATTTAATCCAGACATGCAGCTTTAATCCTAATTTGAATCTTGGCTCTGTCTTGTGTGTCTAATTGTAAAATCCTTCATTGTATCCAGGTGGTTTGGCACTTCCTTTTAAAACTCCTCACACTCCAGATTCCTCCCCCGACACCAGATGCTTCCAACCCACTCCCAACTACACCATAGAGGTAAATTACTCTCTTCAGTCACTCATCTGGACACTATCTCAGAGTCTCATGATTGAATGTTACATTGTCTCTTCTGCTTCTTAATCCAGGTGCTGATGTCCAGCTGTTCACTCTGTAAGACGTGTGACTGTCTGGTCTACGACGAGGAGATAATGGCCGGATGGACAGCAAACGACTCCAACCTGAACAGCACCTGTCCTTTCTGTGGCACAGCTTTCCTGCCTTTCCTCAATGTAGAAATCAAAGACCTGAGACCACACAGCAGGTAAATGCTCACTTTACACAGACCAGTACACGCTATATCAGAATCAGAATCAGAATCAGAATACCTTTATTAGTCCCACAGAGGGGAAATTTGCATCGTTACAGCAGGAAAGAGCCACAGACAGCTTATATTCCCATAGTACTTCAATCAATTCACTGAATGTACTGCTAATATAAGGTTGAATGTATTTGATCTCATATGCTAGATTGTTTTATTTGTATTGGCGAGCTGACTTGAAAAGTGCTGACACATGCACACACACTCAGACTTTAATCATTTATTCATATTCTCTGCGTCTCATCTCAGGTCTTCTAAGGAGAGTAACCCTGTTACAGAGGAAGTCACTTCAGCGACTCTCAATCCCGAGACCAAAAAGTCTTCTTCAGACGATGCAGCTCAGTCCTCTAAAGGTCCCGGGCAAGAACAGGGGAGCAGCGAGAGGGCAGGGTCGCCCCCGGTGACGGTGCCCTACCTGAGTCCTCTGGTCCTGTGGAAAGAGCTGGAGAGCCTGCTGGTGAACGAGGGCGACCAGGCCATCTCCTCCCCGAGTGTTGTGGACCATCACCCCATCGTCTTCTGGAACCTGGTGTGGTACTTCAGGAGGCTGGAGCTGCCCAGTAACCTGCCCGCTCTCATCCTCGCCTCCCAGCACTGTAGCCACGGAGACCAGGTAGACATGCAGGCGTCTGTCAAGCACACCCACATATCAATTGTGTGGATTGACCCACAAGTCAACATTTTAATAACTCAGCAATGGTTTGACATTTGTGGTAAAATGCGCTCGGGAAGTTTGCTGTTCTCACTTTGTTGTCGAGTTAGATGTGGATATCGATAACACTCTTATATCTGTATGAAGTCCGACAAGAGATTGGAATCGATCTTCTTCTGTAATTCTCTCCACGAAAGTAAATGAGTGTATTTCCCAAATGTCAAACGACTACTTCAAACCTCTTTTCAAAGAAAGAAGAAAGTTCTTTAGTGGCTCCTAGTGGTAGTAGACAGAACCAAGCTATGCATAAGAGCAGAACATGGACACGAGCAATGTTCTCTCTATTTTTTAAACAAATGAAAACTAAAACTAAAAAACTACTTATCCATGACTAAACATTTTTTTGTGTTCTTCCTGTTAGGGTTGTTGCATACAGAGTATGTGTTAATCGCTTAATATGTTTCACCCCTGCAGACTCCTCAGAGCGTTTCATACGAGGACAGTAAGCAGGTGCTTGTGAGGATAATGTGGGACAACCTGAAGTTGCACAAAGACAAAGTCCAACCCTGCTATGTCCTGTGGAACTCACATTGTAAGTTACAACATTTGTTTTTATGTCATTTATTTAATTATATTTCAAAAGGTTAAATCGGCACTAGATTATATTCTGCTGGCAAGTTTGATCAAGGTCAGATATGTACATGTAAATTAAATAATGCATATGAAGTAACCAGGAAAACATGCATTATTCAGTTCAGGACTCCTATAAGTCACTCCGACCTTATCAGTGCTTTACTCTCAGAATCCTGAGTGATGGAGATGAATGAGCCTTTGATTGTGAGAGTGGCTTTTTTCTCTTGATCTGTGCAGGTGCAAACTCCCTGGTTCGCTCTGGTCTGTGTGAAGAAGGGCAGCTCTTTACTGTGGAGCTCCTGCAGGGTTTTGTGAGGAGCATCAAGAAAAGTGATGTCTATCAGCCAATGAGCCAGATCATTCAGCTGCTGGGGCCAGAGCTGGGCTTCAAAAGACAGAGGTGAGGAAATAAAGGATTAAGCTTGCTGTGTATTAAAGATGATGTGTATGCAAAGTGTAATGTTTTTTTTTTCTTTATACAAAAAGGAGCCTGTACCGAGACTTACTGTTCCTCGCTCTGGTGGCTTTGGGAAAGAACAACATTAATATCAGTAAGTTCAAAAGCATGATGTCCTGTTTTTAGCCATGTCAGCTGACTGTCTGGCGCTCTGTCAACTACTTGAAATATCTCTTAAACTGTTATATGGATTGCTGTGAAATATGGAACAGCTAACCATTTAGCCCAGATAATCCTACTGAATGTAATGACCCCTGACTATTCTACTTGCCACCAGCAGGTCAAAGTTGTTATTATCTTGTGAAATATCTCATTTACCGGATTAATTTGTGTTTAGTGCTTTTATCAGCAAATGTTATCCTGCAAACACGCTATACGTCAGCATGTTAGCATTGACCGTGTAAGCATGTTAGCATGCTAACGTTAGCATTGAACTTGCCTCTGCGCAACTGGTTTTGTGACGTACAGCCTCACAAAATCATTGTCACTGCTATAAACTACTCTTTGTTATTTTCGTGGTTTTCAAATATAGTTAAATCACATATGACGTCCACATTTTTAATAAACTATTACATCTTTGCAGATGCTTTTGACCGGGAGTACAAGTTGGCATATGATCGCCTCACCCCCAACCAGGTAAAACTGACACACAACTGTGACCGGCCCCCGGGAGCAGGAGTCATGGAGTGCAGGAAGACTTTTGGGGAGCCCAGTCTGTAAACTACTTCTCCTCTTATGTCCCATTATTATTTTCCTTCAACCTTTGGTCACTACTGTTTTATTTTTGGACTGCTCCTCAGACTCAGGGTCAGCTCACCTGACTTAGCACAATAGGAAAATGACACTTAATGTAAAGCAACTGCCACGAGTTTATACTGTTAGAACTGAGAGACATAGAGGGCCGGCCTTGTGTTTGCTATGGTGAAATGTTTGTACAGTTATTATACAATCTATTTTATGACTTTGTTTCTGTTAAAGATGTGAGTAAGTATGTAAAAGTAAGTGTATGTCACATTGAAATTCATAAGTGGTCCTGGTGACCTTGTTAAGACTGTTGTTGAGTGTGTGTGTGTATAATAAGCACTTGCTTTGAGTCATTTGTGTTTTACAAAGCACTTTGACAAGATGAGCTCTTGCCATTCATTCCCATTACGTAACGCTGTGACCCAGCAGCCTACGCTTAAGTGACTTTTTATTTGACAGCTGCAGGACTCACTGCACTGTTCAACATTTCCCTTATATGCAGTTAATGAAGGCAAAGACATTCCTCCTAATCTGCACCCTGTACACATAGCAGGGCCATGCTCATATTCCTGAATACACTAAACTAGATGGTAACAACAAATATAAAACATTATTATTTCTGAATCAAGAAGGGAGTATGTAATATTTGTAAATGCACAATGTTTGTTCATTTATCCTTTTTTGTAAAATGTACCAAAATAACCCAAAAAGGGAATAATACTTTTATGATTAATTAACATTTTTTAAGCAATACTTTTTTTAATGTAATGATGTATGAGATAATGGGACCACCAAGGATATATTTCCTTAAAATGAGTACAATCATACTTATAATAGATGAATAAAAACAGAACATATGGCTTTCTGTTGGTTTAATCAACACAATGTTTTTGATAAAGAAAATAATTTATTGACACAGTAATGGATCGTTAAAAATGTATCTGATTCTTGTATTTGGTACATTTCCTTTTGTTCTTCACTGTATAGTGTAGATGTCATTTTTACATATTTGGACAAAAGTGCACTGTTTAATGTGACATACGGAACAAAAAAGGACATTTTAAATCTCTTTGAACAGATGATGGTGCACGTTTCTTTGCACTGAGAAGATTTAAAGATGTTAATGTCAGGACGACAGCTCTGACCTGCCCTACTTCAAAATCATTTCGGAAAAATGTGTGTGATGGTTCACCGTGTTACAACTGTCTTTCCCTTTTAACTGACAAAAGCCTGCCTAGATACCACAGCTTATTACTGGACACACCACAACAATTTATGATGATACGATGCTGGATTAAACATGGCTGTGTGCTTGGAATAAACACCAATATCACAACATGGACTGTACATTTCCATTTTAATCACCTTACAATCTGTGACAAAAAACAAACAAACACTGATGACCAAAACATTTGATGTGTACATGTTGTTTACACTATTTGTCAACAATGTTAATGACGTATTATTTATCATTTGTAACACAGACAATAATTTGTATGATTTTTATATAAAAAAGAAATCAAATTTCTTCCCTGGCTGGATCTATAGTTTGCTTTCATTTATAAATAAAACACATTTATTCTACAGATGTTCAGTTTGATCATTTCCAAAGTGTGTGTTGCTATGCCTGACCTTTGTTTTATAAAATGCATGACATAACAGTGAGTTCAAGCAAGCTCATTTTCTCTATAATGAATGTTATTGAACACATGTTGGTGCAAGTTTATGCACACAGACAATAAAAAATGCACATTTAGAAACCATCAACTTGTGCATATATTCTAGATTTCTAATTACATCCTGTAGATGCTGATTTTTAAACAGTGAAACAATCCATGTTGGTCTTCATTCTCTTCCACTTCCTACACTATATTACTTAATAATAAAAGATGCAATTGTTACAAAAAGTGAGTATGCAACAAGTTCTAGGAAAGGTTGTAGTATGTGTTTAGTTGCCGTCATACCAGACACATTTTACTGGCATCAATGCAACTACAGTAGCTTTCTGCACAGTGTCTATAACTATTTAGATCCATGTTCATGAGATCCGTGTATGTAAGTTATTCCCTTTAGATCACAATAGAGAGAATGCTCGTCAGCTTCTGCTCACATGCTCAGATGGAAACAGGGCAGACAATGATGCGATCCTCCAGCATCACACTAAGCACCAGGAAGACAAAGTAGAGCAGGAACATGGCGAAACCCAGCATCTTATTCAACTTCCAATTACAGGATGCAATTGAGATGATGACAAAGAGGAGCATGATGAAGAGCAGCACGATGGCACAGAAGAGCCCGTTGCTGCTGACAGCCATTGGAGCAAAACCGTGGAACGATGAGTACAGGAGCCATGGCACTGGAAGACTTATGAAACAAAGTGACAGAGCGAGAAACACAGTAGAGACCATGGAATTAATCGACTGAGTGTTCATGAGAACTTTTTTTTATGATCGTGACACAAGAGGATATTGCATCTCACCCAACTGTGATGTCGAAGATGTTGCTGCCCACCGAGCTGGACACAGCCATGTCCCCCAGGCCTTTACGCGCCACGATCACACTGGTGATGAGGTCAGGGATGGAGGGTCCCTGCAGCCAGGATCGTCAGGCCCATAATCTCCTCTGAGATGCCGATGGTCTCACCCACCTACAGGGGCAAACTAGAGTTACATGTTCATAATGCATTATGTAATAGAAAAGCAAAATGGACGTCTACATTCATAAAATGTTGTATGCCATTATAAAAACAATGTTGATGCAGTTAATCACAAAATATCCTGATTCAAAATACCTTTTAAAAGATTAAATTAGTTCAATAGATTATTTTTCATTAACTACTATAATGTGTGTACAGATGATGACATTTTGGTTGGTTATTACTTAAAGGTGGGGTAGGTAAGTTTGAGAAACCGGCTCGAGAGACACTTTTTGTTATATTCCATGGAATGCTCTTAACATCCCGATAGCAATGAATATCTTAAGTGCTTTGACAAAAAATCCATTAAAAAAATGTCATCTGTGGAAGCCGTAATACTGTAAAAAGCACGACCAATCATTTTAGCCGGCCCGGCTAAAATAACTGGATGGCCTACCTGCCTGTCAGCCTTCCATCTGTGCACAAACTTATCTCGTGCCCTCATTGGTCATGTGCACGTTCGTGTGTGTTGGAGGAGGGGCTCTGTAAGGAAGTGGCAGATTTTTTCCGGCTGTGTATTTTCAAATTCTAGCACACTCGAGCTGGTTTCTCCAAAATTACCTACCCCACCTTTAATGCAAGTATTATTATTATATTTTCATTAAAAAGATAGAAACTGGAGAAATGTATTACATATTGCTTTCAAGTTGTTCATTATAAACGCAGCAGATAAGTACAACACGTGGGTGTTATTATGTAATGAAATTCAAATGTATTAGATTTTGTTTGTATTATTACATAATAAGATGTGTCCATTTTCACATTTCCTATTCAATCTCTAACCTAAACTCCAGTAGCTGACCTGATGGGCCCACCAAACCATGAAGTAGGAGAAAACGGCAATCCACATGATAGAGCCCAGAAAAGTGGCGACAAAGAAATGTCTGGATTTCTGTTCAACAAAGTAAGAGATGTTATAGCAAAACACAGTGTGGAGATATTAAAGATACAACAGCTTGTCTCAGAAATGCTTATCTCTTCACCTGGTTGCGAACATCTGGAACTGTGAGCCACAGAGGGAAAATGATGGGCAGCAGGAAGAGGTAGGTGGCTTGTTTACGTCGTGTTTCAGGCCACTCTAAAGACAAAGGCTCATCTTCTTTCTCCTCTTCTTCTTCATCGCCCTCCTCCTCATCTTCTTCTTCTTCTTCTTCTTCTTCTTCACTGGACTCTTTGCTATCTTCTTCACTGTCATCTTCATCACTGTCAGAGCCTCCTGACCCATCCTCTCCTGCCGGCACATCCTCCTGACATGAAGAAATCATGATGAACAGTCGAAGCAGAACAGAATGAAAAGAACAACCAAAAGAAGCCTAAGGTAAGGAGACCTTTGCTTATAGTTGTTGCTACGTACATTTTGACTCTTACATAGACAGGTATCAAAGACTGACTTCTGGGCTTTTTAAGTACCACCAGGCATCGGGTAGAGAGTACCTTCTTGTCCTCTGGGTGATCCTGCTTATCCGGTGCTGGGGCCGCCTCTCGCTCTTTGGTCGCCTCAGGTTTATCTCCACCATCTGTGAAAGGAATCCCAAAAATGTTGTGCATTTCCCTGATGTCTCTTTAGCTTTCTGAAATACTTCCGATTCCAAGCCTTTAGGGCCAGTCATATGGAGAAATGCAGTGAATTTGCTGTTACATGATAAATGATGTTATCCTTGTGGCAACTGAATTAAATGAACTGTCTATGAATATGTATTTGGATGTTATCACACACTCCTTTAGGCCATTTGCTTAGTCTTTACCACCCTTTGTGTGTTTTTGTAAGGGTATATTGTACCTGTATGCAACTTGATATTCTATTTTGTTTTACCTTAACAAGTATGCACTTTTCATTTTACTTTCTGCAGCCCAGCTTTGAGACTCTGTTCATGAGCAAGTCACAAAGTGTCTGACCATTACTTCATTCCACATTACCTTCACGTTTGTCTTGAGTTTTGTTCTCTGTCGCCCGTCTAGCCACATTATTCAGTGTCTCAGCCTTATCCTTAAATTTCCCTGCAAAAAAATCAGAAATAAACTGAAGATTATACGAGGAACAAATTCAATTTCACAGGACAATGCCCTAAGCCCTTCATAAGTTAAGCATTGAAAAACTGGCAGTAAAACATAATAACCTGCAAAAAATATGTTCTGCAGCACAGAGCAACGTCATGAGAGGACAAGTCCTACAATAAACAGCCATCATACGGTACATGAAGTAAGCTCTTACAATTTGTTTAAAATGAACAAGTATGTATTGTTTTTATTAATTGCAAGAATTTGTTGTCCCTTTACCGGTCTCTCAGGCGATATACTCCCCCCTCAAGCAAGAAAAATGTATAACAGAGGTCGATATTGATTACCATGCAGTACACGGTATCAGAACATACATTTTTATATAAACTTGATTTGATATAACATTTAAAGCATGTCTAATTTTGGAGTCAGGCTGATACATTGGCTTCTGGCTGTGATCCAGAGTTTGTGGCTCTTCAAAAGCTTATCATTGTGTTGGAGTGTTTGCTGCCTGGAGGCCTAAGAGGTATCAAACCAGGAGTCAGAGCCAACACATTTGGGACATATATGCACATTGTTGTACGAGACACGACTAACTTCTCAGGGAAAACCATTTGAAAAGCTGTTAAGGGTGAGTCTTTCCTCCCATTATTTGACCAGCCAGCAACACCTTACATACAGATAAATGAGTAAATTACTAAAGGTGAATAACAATAATCTGTTCGTAGAGACAGCTGTGTTTCTTGAGGTTTTTTTCACTGTGGGACCACACCAGATGCCGCCATAGACCAAGGTATTTATCTGCTTAGTATAAATCTTAATTAAGTGCTGTCTTCATTTGGGACACGCTAATCCATTTCCAATAACAAGGAGGAGGTAGTTGCCAACCACTCTTTACAGGAGCCCTTCGAAAAGGCAGACAATGAGCAAAGATGAGGGGCATCAGTGTGGGGATATGGTACTCACCCTCTCCTATAGGGTCCAATGTGTGGATCATGAGTTGAAAGACGGTGTTTCTCATGGTGCTGTTGTGTAAAGAAGCTGAGCTCCCCCCTCGCTGAAGGGATGGCTTCAACTGGGAAAAGAGAGGGCCGATGACACGGTAGCTTCTCATAATTGCAAACAACGAAACATCAATGATAGAGAATCGTGTTGTAGTGGATGAAACCCGAGGGCACCGAGCCTTCGCAGCAGCTGGCCCTAGGCTCTGGAACACTCTGCCCCTCCATGTGAGGTCGGCCCAGACCCTAGGGGTTTTTAAATCAAAACTAAAAACACACTTCTTCTCTCTGGCTTTCTAGTTAGAGCGGAGCACGACTCCTGACTTTTCCGTGTGTTTTATTTTTATTTTGTTTTTTTAGATATATCTGTTGTAATTTATTGTCGTTTATTGTGATTTGTAGTAATGTGGTTTTATTACATGTACAGCACTTTGGCTCGACCAAAAATCGCTTTTAAATGTGCTTTATAAATAAAACCTGATTTGATTTGATTTGATTTGATGAAATGCTTTTGTTTTTTTCTTAATAACATAATGAAGCAATTGAAATAAGGCTTGTTTACTCCAAGCTACGATAAATGCAACTGCAGAAACGTCAATAAGATGTAGGATAACATGTAGATAATTGAACATTGTTAGTGTCTATGAGGATATGGTTATTTGTGTCTTTCTTTTTGGAGTTTATTATTAGTTTTTTTTACCTTTAACAGATTCTTGTCCTCTTGAGCAGGAAGGGCATTATGTTCAGCGTCACCGTTTATCTGCATGGAACAATGTTTTTAACAGAGATCATTCATAGGAGAGATTAACCAACGTTTTTTTCATTTTGGTAGAGCCTAAATATATATGTCAACAACAACTTAGGGGGTCTTGTTTGTGTTACATGTCAGAATAAAAAGATACAACTCTGTTTCATGAACAGGATTATGATTTTATGAAATGATACCTCGTTCAATTACATCAAATACAAATAAAAACCCTCTAGGGTGATTATGTATGATGTAATAAAGCATTTAAAATATATTAGATAATTACATTTGCTGGACATACAGCTCCATCAGTAGAACCGTGTGTGCTCATACTGTAGAGCTCCAGATCCTCAAAGGATTAGTTTATGTCATTGATCAGCTTTGGATCCACTAAAGCCTTTGCTAGAATCATTTCACTCTTTGACAAGATTTGCATACAACCCCACAGGTTGCAGTAGACATGTCACGAGTGATGAGTAATGTGACTTTCTGTTACAGTAATAAACTACACTGAAACAGAATGATGTATGAGGGAAAGGACACGTTTCAAATTTAAAAATGTTCTTATGTTTTATGGACTAAAGGTATCACAAGATTTGCAAACGTGAAACTCATGATGAGATATTTTTGTCTTCAATAGTTGGACATATTGTTATTTGAAGCTCCATAGATTTGTTCTCAATTGCATACCGTGGTAATTAAAAAAAGTATGTTGATGTCCTTAGAAGCAATACTTTGGTCCAATACCAGCAAACTTTCAGTTAAAAACACTCTGATTTAAATGCCTTCAAGAATTATTGTTGTGTCAATTAAGGACATGAAAAACCACATTTAAGATAAGAGTCATTTTCTGAGTGCTTACCTTTTCAGGTTCCCCTACAGCAATTCTCACAATGTTCTTGTTTTTGAAGAGTAGAGACTTGAAGGTTTGTTCAATTTGCACATTAAACTTCATGAAAATCACATAGACAGAGTAACAGGCCAGCAGCATCAAGCTCTCCCACCACATTATGACATTATCCAGGAAGAAGATGATGAGTAAGATAAGGCCAAATATGTAGAAGGATCCATCTCTGAAAAGTGGCCACCAGGTGAGATGAAGTATCTCCCGTGAAAACAAAGCACACATCCCGATCACAAACAAAATGTTGAACACAGCTGAACCAACAATTGTGCCGATACCCACATTGCTGTGGGCGATGAAGACTCCTATCAAGGAGGTGAAAAGTTCGGGGGCAGAACCTCCAGCAGCCATGAAGGTGGCTCCTGCTACATCGTCAGAGATGGCTAAAGTCTCTGTGATCACCCCCAGCGCAGGAACAAAGAACTCATCACACACTATTGCAAGTGAAATGAACATGTACAACATCCCAAAAACGTGGAGAATCACCCAGCCTCGTCTACGGTCTTCAACAGAAAATAGATCTTCAGGGTAGTCTCCCTTCAAGTATGGAGCTTCACCAGGAAGAGCTGGAGTTGGTGAGGGTGTCTCCTGTGGAGGCTCAGGTGCCACAAAGATGCAATGCACCATAGTCCGTTTTGTAGTTGGTGATAGTGAAGGTTCAGTGGGGGTGAATGCTTCAAAATTTGAATTTATATCCGAATGTGCCACATGTATCTCTGGCGTTGTTTGATCTGTTGGCTCAAATTCATGTGTTGCAGTGAGAGGTTCCTCCGACCCCTGAGTCTCTAGTGTGGCCTCATTGACCCCTTCTGTTGAACCTTCTGCAAAATCCTCTCCAATCTGAGGCATTGGCAAAGGCTTGTACAGTCTGGCACTGATAGTCAGCTGGTAGAGTGTACAAAGAAAAACCCCGGAGAGGAGAAACAGGACCCGGCAGAGATGTAGTCGCTTCCTCCTTGCACAAAACATTTTCCCTCCAAAGCAGGTGGTGATACTGGCTATGGAGACACAACAACTCCAGCTCTCTCCCCAGCAGACCGTGGGGCGACAGAATCTAAAACTCCGGTGGCGTGATTCATGGCATCCTCAATCCCTTGGCAGCCTGTTGTGTTTCGAAAGAGGCATCAGAGACAAAATGATTAGAAAGCAGGTTGCAAAGAATTAGGTTTCATTTGAAAACATGAGAACTATTCTAACAACCACCGGACTATTAAATCAATGTCTATCATAGTATTAGTGATAAGCTCATTTAGAAGCAGCTTTATCTGCATGTTTTTTTTTCTTTTCAAAACAGAATGAACAAAATGAGAGAGGTGAAAACAAGAAAATAAAATAACCATTCAAATAAATGTCCCGTAGAAAGGGGTTAATCTCATTTCTACACAAATCACACAGAGAAAAACCCAATGAATTTAATTTAAAGAGGCAGACTTACCACAGAACCAATGTCTTCCAGAGTCGAGGGTGAAACAATCTCTAAAGCCAGATTCCCCCTGATGGTTATTGTGGTGCAAACAAGTCCAAACTGATGCAAATGGCTGCAGTGTTATGTAGGACACGGGACGAGTCTTTACAATGGCTCAGCATAATACCTGAAGTCTTCTAAGAGGATTATGTCCATTGTCTCACTCTTACTTTATCAAGAGCCTACCTCTGTAATATGTAATTTAAGGCAAACATACAAATTGTATTATCTGGCCATTGGAAGTAATGATTGATATAACAGACTATAAGGATTCTTTCCGTGCTTGTATTAAACAAAGAAAAACTACTAATAAAATAAAATAAAATACAAATGTAAGAGTAATGAAGTTGGAAAAAGCAGGCAGACGACATGGGCATATTTTATTTTAGTGATATATTATCTAAATTCTCTATTTATATTTCAGTATATACGGTTATTTGTTTTTTTCATGCTTCTTTGATATAAAATATAAATGTAAAAATAGTCATACAAATTATATATATCTAGTTTATATGTATTATAGTAGGTGTTTTTTTTAACCTTTGGAGCAATAAGTTATTTTAAATTCCCAAAAATATGTTTTCAATATCAATAAAATCATCGACATCATTTCAACCACGAGGACATGGATGTGGTTATAGTGTACAAATATGACTCATTTAAACTCCCTACAGAACTGACCACACTTCATTCAAGTTTACATCACAGTTCTTGGGAAGAGGCAGTGTAGCAACAGGTTTTAAAAGAGAACAGAGATCAAAGTTCTGCATAATGACCTGGAAATATCTTTACTTCATTTTATGCGTCAGAACTTATCTGCAGCCTCGGGTCACAGGAAAAGCTGAGTCACATCTAGCATTATTGGCTAATCGGACATGTTGCAATGTTGGTGCATACAAGAGATGCAGAAGTGTATGTGTTTGTATACTAGCATAAAAGTTGCAGATTAAACTGTTACACTTGCCATCAGATTATAAATCCTACAAATGAAGGAGTCATTCATAACATTTTGTAAAGCATACACATTTATAACATGAGCTTTTGTACAAACATAATTCAACAATGTTTAAGCCCTCTCTCACCCACTAAACAGGACAGACAATGATGTGATACTCCAGCATCAGGCTGAGCCCCAAAAAGGTAAAGTAGAGCAGGAACATGGTGAAGCCCAGCATCTTATTCAACTTCCACTTACAGGAAGCAATAGAGATCATGAAAAAGAAGAGCATGATGAAGAGCAGCACGACAGAACAGAAGAGCCCGTTGCTGCTGACGGCCGCTGGAGCAAAACCGTGGAAGGATGAGTACAGGAGCCAAAAAAAGACAAATAAACCTGTCGTCTGCATGTTAAAGGTAGGGTAGGTAAGTTTGAGAAACCGGCTCGAGATACACTTTTTGTTATATTCCATGGAATGCTCTTAACATCCCGATAGCAATGAATATCTGTAAAAGCACGACCAATCATTTTAGCCGGCCCGGCTAAAATAACTGGATGGCCTACCTGCCTGTCAGCCTTCCATCTGTGCACAAACTTATCTCGTGCCCTCATTGGTCATGTGCGCGTTCGTGTGTGTTGGAGGAGGGGCTCTATAAGGAAGTGGCAGATTTTCTCTGGTTGTGTATTTTCAAATTCTAGCGATCTCGAGCCGGTTTCTCAAACTTACCTACCCTACCTTTAATCAGAGTTCATTTTGAAATTGTGAAACATCAGGTTATTTCAGCTCACCCCACTGTGATGTTGAAGATGTTGCTGCCCACAGAGCTGGACACAGCCATGTCCCCCAGGCCTTTACCCGCCACAATCACACTGGTGATGACGTCAGGGAGGGTAACCCCTGCAGCCAGGATCGTCAGGCCCATAATCTCCTTTGAGATGCCGATGGTCTCACCCACCTAAAAGTGTAAACCAGCACATGAATACAATATACAGAACTGATCTCAGGGGCTCGAAAACACTCTTAAACTTGGTTTCAATACACAATCACTGTTTCAAGGAGAATTTGATCAGACTATATGTTAATGTCAACATCTGTTTTTCTGCTCTCAATTAACCTCTTTGTTGAAACCACAACTTGTCCCTTTAACTGCCATTTTACCTCATAGCTGTTGTCTTTATTTATCTTGTAAAGTTCAATCGTGTGTAACACTATAGTTGTTCATACATCTGTTTTTTGTTTTTTGTACTTTTCTATTCATCTGTACTTATTTCTGTGTTGAAACTCGGATTTCTATCATCAAAAGGAAGGCTTTTCTTATGTGATCTTATCTTAGACTTTAAACTGTACTGACCTGATGAGACCACCAGACCATGAAGTAGGAGAAGATACCAATCCACAGAATAGAGGCCAGGAAGGTGAACACAAATCATTTTCTGGATTTCTGAAAGACAAAAACACTTGTGGCATTTAGGAAACCAACAGCTGGTCTCAGAGATGTGTCTGGGTATTTACCTGGTTGCGAACATCTGGAACTGTGAGCCACAGAGGGAAGATGATGGGCAGCAGGAAGAGGTAGGTGATTTGTTTACGTCGTGTGTCAGGCCACTCTAAAGACAGAGGTTTATCTGCTTTCTCCCGTTCTTCTTCTTTGTCATTTTGATTTTCTCTAAAGTGAATGCTGTCTTCCTTCCGTCCAACATCTTCAGAGCCCACTGACCCATCATATCCTGCTGCCACATCCTCCTAGAAACAGGCATTGGATGTGATCATGCTGGACAATAGTTAATAAGGCATAAGAAATGAGAAGAATGGAAATGTGTATTTTCTCGTTTTTCAATTTAGGAATGATGCTTTCTAAAAATATTTCACATTATAACAAACTGTTCTCTGCTTATTTTAAACTCAAATGGAGAAAACATTACATTTTGTTCCATAGAAATTATAAACCAGTATTGTGAACAATTTTTGAAACATTCTTAGATGTATAAAGTCCATGTTGATCAAATACCTGAAAACTGTTACAAAAGAAACCTCTCTACAGGGTTTTTCCCACACTTAAAAAAGAAAATACTAGATGTATCATATTGAGAGTATTGGGACACAACATATATCAAATATATTTGAAGCAAGAACATGTCTCAATGATTGCTTACCTTTTCAGGTTCCTCCACAGAAGTTCTCACAATCTTCTTGTTTTTGAAGAGTAGGGTCTTGAAGGTCCGCTCTATTTGAACATTGAACTTGCATATGCATATCACATAGACAGAGTAACTGGCCAGCAGCATCATGCTCTCCCACCACATAATGACATTATCCAGGAAGAAGATGATGAGTAAGATAAGGCCAAATATGTAGAAGGATCCATCTCTGAAAAGTGGCCACCAGGTGAGAAGAAGTACTTCCCGTGAAGCCAGAGCACACACTCCAATCACAAACAAAATGTTGAACACAGCTAGACCAACGATTGTGCCGATACCCACATTGCTGTGGGCGATGAAGATTCCTATGAGGAAGCCAAAAAACATAGGAGCGGATCTTCCAGCAGCCATGAAGGTGGCTCCTGCTACATCGTCAGAGATGGCCAACCTGTCTGTGATCACTCCAAGTGCAGGAACAAAGAACGCATCGCACACTATTGCAAGTTAAATGAACATGTACACACCATCCCAAAAATATGGAGGATCACCCAGCCTCGTCTACGGTCTTCAATAGAAAACAGATCTTCAGGGTAGTCTCCCTTGAAGTGTGGAGATTCACCAGGAGATTGTGTGGTATTCAAATGATGAGCCACATGCTTCTCTGTTTCATCTGTGGGCTTTAATTCATGTGTTGCTGTGAGGGATTCATTCAACCACTGAGTCTGTACTGTGGCCTCCTCGACCCTCTTTGTTGAACTTTCTCCAACATCCTCTCCAATCTGAGGCATTGACAAAGGCTCGTTCAGTCTGGCACTGATAGTCAGCTGGTAGAGTGTACAAAGAAAAACCCAAGAGAGGAGAAACGGGGTCCATCTCAGCTGCAGTTCTTTTGTTTTTGCAAAACACATGTTGATGTGGTTTTGGAGACATAAACCAAGAGGCCTGAATAGGCAACAGTCAAGTCCAGCTTTCTCACTAGCAGACCAGGGAGGTTCAGAATCCAAAACTTCAGTAGTGTCCTTCTTGTCCCATTCTGTAATCCAGCCTATTGTAATAATAGATAAAATGACAATCAATCAGCAGGTGGAGCACAACAAGTTTTTTTGCAATTATTCGATTATATTTAGATAATATATTGTTGCCTGCCATAATAAAGGTATGAACATAGGCTATTCGTGTTCTGTACAAAAGTCATTCTCCACCTGTCACAAACAATAAAGCATTTTAACACCATTACTTTCACAAAGAAATTGGAACCACAATTGCAGGACGATGATAGTTATGGATTATGTATACCCCGAGTCTAAGAGGATTATGTTCACTGTCGTAATTTATAAACCTGGTCATTGGAGCCTGACAGACGGTTGCATGATTGTTTCTTTTTAATATTAAATGACCGTACAACACACAGTGACAGGCTGCCTTACCTTAAATCGGACGATTCTCACTCACTAGTTTAATCATAGGATTCACCAACGTTTTAAATCCTAGGACTCTTACCAAATCATTAGATGCCAAAAATTAAATGTGCATTTCTGGCATGGTACCATATTCCTCTTGGACGAGCTTTCACAATCCTCACTTTTACAACAAGCACAGTTTTTTTTGGACCAAAACAATTTCTCATTTTCCAGACCCCGCCCCTGGATGTTAAATCTATACTCAAACCTTGAATGTATTATTTATTTGCTTTTGTCATAAAATAAATAATTATTGTATTTCCCTGTTAATGTCATGTTGTCTGTTATCTTCAGTATAGAACTATCTAAAATCACATAGGAACTATTTATTCTAGAGACTGCGGTCACCCGGACGGAAGTAGCGTTGCACCTTACAACACAAACAACACTGGATGGCGAGCGAAACGTTGAATGGCACGTATATATTAATATTGTTCTTGTATAAATCATTCACTATATAGTGTAACTTATAGATAATCATCATCTCACGCTCGTTAAATATCAAGCAACATAGTTATTTCATTATGTTTCAAAATGCTAGCGTAAATTAGCTGAACAACTAGCCAACATTAGCTAACAGTAATCTGCTGTGACATGTCTTCTGTTCAGCTTTCAACGTAGTTACTGGTCGTTGTTTGTTCAAATGCATTTCAGAGACAGATGCCACATATTTTTAATATAGCTAACTCCTGCATCTTTGTTTGTTTCTTTTCCTTCAGTGGGAGCACGTTGGAGGGTACTTTAATTCTAATCCTGGTGGTCTTTATAAGCAGTAAACCATGCCTACCGTGATCCTCATGGACGTGTCTCTGTCCATGACTCGGCCGGTGTCACTGGACGGCAGCGACGAGTTCCAGAGGAAGAACCTGGCTGTCCACGGACTAAATATGTTATTTGAACACATGGCCTCAAACTACCGCCTGGAGTTCACATCACTGATGGCCTTTTCTTCCCTCTGGGAGCTCTTGGTGCCTTTCACTAGAGATTACAATGCATTACAGGTAAAATGATAACAATGTGCATCAAATGACGCCTGGTAATCGAAGCATATGTTGCTCTCCTGATTAACCACCTGCGTTTACATCAGTGAAAACCAGTCTGACTTTGGAGTAGATTTAAGGATTTTCTAATAGATTTTTTTGTGTGTGCAGGAGGCTTTGGGCAACCTGGAGGACTATGACAAGACTTGTGTTGAATCAGCTCTTAATGGAGTTAGTAGCGTGGTACAGCAGGAGTGGGGCAGTGCCTGTCCCTGTCAGGTAATGTTGTCTTTATACAAGATCATCAGACATCCCTTTGATTTATAAAGCTGGTATTTTTTTTCAAAAGTGATTTCAGCCATTTATTCTTACAGACGATTATGTTGATGTACCCCCTTACTTTGTCCTGCAGGTGGTGCTAGTCACTGATGGATCTCTTGGTATTGGAAAGGGTTCCCTTCGTCAATCCCTCCAATCACTGAAGCATCGTGCAGATGACAAGAAGTTCCCCCTTCCTTTCCCCTTCCCAACAAAAATGTTCATCATGTCTATAGCCAATGCAGAGGAGGTACTGAGCGAGTCAACATTTACTTTCTATTAGCTTGTATCCTGATCTGGACACAGTCAGTGTAAAATCATGTATTAAATCTGTATTTTACGTCAGCGGCTGGTTATAAACAACATGTTGTAGCCATCTACTTGGTTTTTATATCTTAGATGTTGTTGAATAAATCCTATGATGAGAGAATGGTTGGTTGGTTTGTTGTTGGAAAGAGTTACCAACATGTTTTGCATGGTGATGTACTTAAAGCAGTGGTTTTAAATATTGATCCAATATTTGACTGTGGGAAAAAGGTGTGAATTTTCCTCCACTACGTCTGAATTCAAACTTTAAATATTTTTATTTTAGCACATTCATTTTTTGTGTAATTTCTGTCAAGTAGCAACACTTTTCTCCAGTGTACCTTGAAACCATGTAAAATAAAAGCTAGTTAGTGCTTGCAATAAATGTCCCAGCTGTTCAATGCCACCTCCTTTCTTGTGTACTTGCAGCTCCAATCGACTGATGCCATGAACAACTTGGAGGAGCTACTTCATCTCAGCGGCGGTGATGGACAGATCTTCACTATGGAGGGACCTCTTTGCATGAAGAGTGTACAGGCCATGTTTGGGTAAGATATCAAATGGGGAAATAGTCCAGAATTTGTTTAACTTCTTGTGTTATCTGTTTACTTAGGTGCCTTTGAACATGTTTCTTTTTTTGTTTGTCTTCAGGAGGCTGATTGATCACGCGTACTCTCCCTTCCATGCGGTCCTGCATTGTGGGAACCTGTCCTC